ATTATCAAACACAACAGTACTAGATCTTTTTTTTGTCGTCATCTATTCTATAGATCAAGTTTATTGTTATGCTACATGATTTTAATATTTACTCTTCATTTTTTTACAGAAAACTTTAGTTTTTTATTCATGAAAAACTTTCATTTATTTTACAACATAAAGTAAATATGAATAATTTTATTTTATTTTTCTGTATACATATTTTGAACATTGTTTTAAAAAAGTTCTACAACTATTCTATGCAAATTCTTCCAATATTAGTTTGATTTCAACCTCTGTTTCCACATCTTCTTTGTTTCTTATTAGAATTAGCATACTTTTTTTTATAAAGAACATACATATTTTGTATTTTGTAAAATTAGTATTTCTTTTCTAAAGTTAATATCTTAAAAAGCTCAAAAAAACCTGCATAAAAATAAACTCACATAAGTTAATATTATGTGAAAACCTAAAATACTTAAAAGCCCAAAACATAAAATAAAAATGCTGATGTGGATACTCTTGATGGAGAGAAACTTCTCTAATTATATATACTAGTATATTGTCCGCGCTACGCGCGAATTGTAATTATAATTTTTAATTGTTTTTTAGTTTCAAATGAATATTTTTAAAAATGGTTTTATAAATGTTAATTTTCTAAGAGGTTTTAAAAGCTGTATGTTAAGAAGCTTATACTGATATTGTTGCTATTTATAGGTGTATTTTTGAATATGTAATTAGCTTACAAGGGCAAATTTTTTCTTTTAATTAGTATAGATTTCAATATAGGTAAATAATGAAAAGTTAATGAAACCATAAATCATAATTTCATAGGTAGTACAAAGTTAAAAAAACTATAATAAATTATATGTATGTTAAAATAATGATTCAGTTTGAGTTGCACTAGAAAAAGTGATTCAATATTGAAGAAGATAAGAAGTATAGTTTCAAGTGAATCAAAATTGTTTTGTCACTGTATTTGTGGATATGATAATACATTGATTCTGCTAACATATTAAATTTACTCCATTATTATAAAAAGACCCCATCAGATTTTCAAAGTTAATACAACATATAGAAAGAGCCAAGCAACAGAAAGCAAAGTTGTAGCTAGTACTAGTTCTTTAATTATTTTGAGAGAAAATAGGAATGAAAAGACACTTTTATAAACAGTAGTCTTGTCAATTTTCTTTGGTAAACAAACAATCTATTTACATAGTCAGTGTCCTATGTAAAATAAGTACAGTAGGTTTTTTTTTTGGTGAAATAAAAAAAAAATAATTATCCAAAAATCTTTTTTGTCTGGCTCTATACAGTCAAGGTAGAAGCCATAAATAGATGGAAAAATTTGAGAAAGACATTGACGATGAAGGATTAATCTGAGAACCAACAGTTGAATCACTTATCTTGCAACCCTTGTTGTTCTAGTACTTATTTGTGCTTCTTCTTTCCTCACTTGGCTTAGTCTCAACTTTCCCCCCATGGTTTCAAACTTTAAAGGTCACCTCTGTTCTGAGCTATTAATTTTAAGAATCTTAGAGAAGATGATACACCAAAATATTAAAAACTCAACTAATTCTCACTGTATATAAGCTTTATAATTTACCAAAAATCAAGCAAATTTACCAAATGCTTAAAAAATATAAAAAATTCAACCAATTCTCACTGTATAGAAGCTTTATAAATTACCAAAAATCAAGCAAATTTACCAAATGCTCATCAATATATGGAGATAGTCTCGACTCCTTTCTTTACATGGATCAGATTCCTATCCTGCAAAACCAAATATGTCAGGACTGTGTTCTCATGATGAGTGAGATTAATTTTAAGAAACATATTACAAACCATATGAGAAATAGGAATTTAGTTGTCCCAAAACTCTAGTGACGACAGAAAGCCCACTTCCTGCAATATATTAAAAAAAAAATCCATTTGGTAAACACTTAAGTCCTCTCAGATATTAGAGCATTGTTTTCGAATGTGGTAAACCAAAAACTTGGAACCCCTTTTCTGGAGTCAAACACATGCAACACCAACCTCTTGGATATAATATTATTGTTTTCAAGAGCGGTGAAACGCACCAACACCAACAGCTGCATATCGAGTGTAAATAATTTCATGAGAATATCTAATATAAACATAATCAAAAAAGTTGTAAATAATATAAAGATACGATAACATATACAAACCTCCATCTGTTTCGATTTAATGGTTTGTGATTTGGATACAATAGACAGCATAATTCGATACTCTCACAACCAATTACCTTGGTAAACATAGGCTGAATGAATTAAATCTACTTGGCTTTATTGCCGACTTTTATCACTCTTCTCAAGATCCTCCTACATGCTGATACAAGCCTCAAAATGCTTCAAGGATTGTTGTCTTTGAAAATCATCACTTAGAAGCCAAATGATGGATGAATGGTTTGAATGATGGAAAAACCAGTTGTACTTAAACTCCAAGCACAAGAGTTTAGGCTTTACTAACTCAAAGGCTAATCCTCACAAGAGTTAATAAATTCTACACTTCTCACAAGCTCTTTGAATCACTCAAAAAGAACTTAATAAAAAGAAGGAACAATATTGTAAATAAAGAGAAACTTCTTTGAAACAAAACATAATTTTCTTGATTAATAATTTGGTGAATAAAAAGTATAAGGATGTGAGATTTTTTATAATGCTCAGAAATGATGAAAAGCAACGGCCACAATAATTAAAATCAGAAGCAAAGTTTAAGCAAAATGATGGGATGAAAGTCTTCTAGCTGTTTGGGTTTAAAGGTGATGATCTCTTGATTTGGCTATGATGAAGGGATTTCTTTGGCTCCTTTATGAGGTATGTACGTGATGATTCTGGTGGTTTAAATGAATGGCTGAGATTAGGAGACAATGATGGTCTTTGGTCTTCAGTCTTTGAATGATAATCTTCAAGTATGGAAAGCTTCTTTTTGGGGTTATCTCCTTTGGTTTTTGATAAAAGGGAACGGCTGATGACTTGATCTGGTGTAGTATGGCTTGTGTAGACTTCTGTGGACGTGAAGAGGGGCGAATATAATGTCCCAGCTTGACATATATTCGAGTTTCCTTGGTATATATTAGGGGTGGGCAAAAAAATCCAACCGAAGTGAATTAATCCAAACCAACCGAACCCGAACCAAATCAAACCGAACCAAAGTCTATATCAAAATATTTTGGTTGGGATTTCTATCAACCCGAATGGTTCAGTTCGGTTTGGTTTTAAACCAATATGTTTTCTTAATTATTAAATTTCTAGTTTTTATTTTGATTAAATTTGTGTTGATATTGATTTGTTGCATATTTTTTTTAGGCTACGGAGGCAAGATAGATACTATGATATGATGAAATTGGGTGTTTTGGTTTTCTTTTTAGTTAAGTATGATTTTATATTGGAGTTTTTTTTAGTTTTACGAGTTTTGTTGTTTAAGACAGTTTACATTTTTATTTTGATTTCGACGTTATGTTTAATCTTTACGCAATGTTTTGTTTTGCAAACTATTATGTATTAACCAAACTAAACAAATCAAACCAAACCAAACCAAACTATATTTAAACCGAACCGAATCGAAGCTAAACAGAATTAATTTTGATTAAGTTCAGTTAGAATTTTAGTATAACCAAACTAACCGAACCGAACCGAATCCGAACCGAAACCATAAGTAAACCGAAATGCCCACCCCTAGTATATATGCATTGACGCTCCAATGGCTCCGTTTATGAAAAATGGTGGTTCTTCTTTGGTTTGGCAAGATTGAGTTCGGTTATTGGCTTCTTCTGGTGGTTTGGGACGTTGGTTAACTTCAGTAGACTCCAGATAAGACGTGCATAAGTTGCCTTGATGATATTCATTCGTGGTTTCCTTATATGGCTCAGAATATACACATGTAGGTCCATATGTATGTAAAAACGTCTTGATGGGTCTTTCTTGGTTAAGTGGCGAGTTGTATTGAACCGAAGGAGTGTTGGCTCGACCCAGCTGGTCCTTTTTATGCCTGAAACGCTGGCGTTTTGAAGCAATACCTCCATTGCTTTCAGCTACATGTCCTCTTTTCCCCACAGCTACAAGCTTAGTGTCTCCTCCTTTCCTTGTCAAGTACTGATGTATAAACATGAATGCTTACATCACATGCTGTAGGAACATACTGTATTCAAGATCAGATCCAAACATACAATATCAATTTAACAGCAGACTAATAAAGTGTCTATAGAAATTTATGAACCTGATTCTACTGCAAGGCCTCAACATGCCTTCGAACTTAAGAAAATTGATTATCCAGCAGATAAGAATATTGTCCACCCAGGTTCTTTAGCTTCTTCTCCTAATTAACATATATCCATCACAAAAATCTCTAGAGGAAGAAGACAGAGAGATCCTCCCACATGAGAAAACTTCATGAAACAGGAATGAACGAAAAAAACAAAGATTATTAATAGAAGAAAACATGCTTGGTTTTAAAACCATTGAAGTAGAAACAAATGTGCGCACTGATGTCGACTTGGTATGGAGTGGGGAAGGCGAGAAGGTAGAGGTGAAGAGAAGAACACGAAAGGTCACAAAATTAGATGGAAATTCTAGAACCTTAAACTATGGAAAGTCTTAGATTGTCATTAAACTCTAATTTAGCTTTAGTTTTAGCTTATGTCATATGACAGTTTTTTTGAGAAGTTTAATTTGCTGATGTGGCCTAGTCTAAGGAACCCCAAATAAGTACTTTCATTTAGTATAGATTTATACAAGTATTGTAAAATTAGAAATTAAAGAAATTATATAATTAATTGAATCCCTAAAGATATGAGAGGAGATTAGTAGGAAAAAAAAACGATTTTGCAAGTTACTATATCGGTCACTCCATCATTCCACTCCCGGACAAGTCTGACGGAGACGAACTTAGTAACTTTTCATCTCCTTTTAGATAATGTATCACTTGTCTCATATTAGGTCTAGCTCGTGCGTCGGAATGAGAGCACAAGAGAAGAGACCCAGCTTCAAAACCATTTCGGCTTATTCTTGGTTAAGCTCGGAACCCATATTCGGATATATAGCATCCAAGATGTTTCCCTTGTTCCATAATGCAAAAACCCAATCCACAAGCACAAACGTTTCATTGTTATCATTCTGAATCTCGACAGGACGCCTACCGCATACACCTTCTAGTAGAAATGCACCAAACGCAAAAACATTGGAAGCGGTCGTGGCTCGTCCTGTCCTGGTGTGTTCAGGGGCTAAGTATCCCAATGTTCCAACAATGTGCGTGGTTTGAGGACCAGACCCGTGATCATACTTTAACGTCTCGATGAATCACTACTTGTTCCCACTCCTCATGCAAGTAGAAGACAACCCCTAAAATGATCTTAACCCTCTGTTTCCAATCAAGGGTTGTCTCCTTAGAGTTGTATAAGAACTTGTCTAAGCTTCCATTGGGCATGTAATCGTACACAAGAAGTAGCTCGCCTCTCCTACGACAGTAACCCAAGAGAGAGACTAAGTTCGGGTGACTCATCCGACCAATACTAATTATCTCTGCCACAAACTCTTTCACCCCTTGTTGGCACTCGTGCGAGACTCTTTATTTCAAGACGATATCCAAATTATTCTCCGGCATCACACCTCTGTATACCCTTCCAAACCCACCAGCTCCCAGGAGGTTCGTCTCCTCGAACGCGTTGGTCGCATAGTACAAATCTTTGAACCGGAACCGGTTCTTCCCGAACTCTTTCTCCCAATCTTCGAGCTCCTCCGTGAACTTCCTCCTCCTCCTCCTCCTCATGACGAAGCCGGCGAGGAAGATCGCAGAGAAAATCAAGAAAAGGCAGTTTTGGAAGTTTAGATAAATCTAACGGTGGAGCCACACCGCTCAGCCCAAATCTCCACCCGATGATATAATGTTCTGATACAACGGAACCTGTCGTAGACGAGAAACCCACGAACATATCTTGGAGAAGAACCGAGGAAAGATATCTGACAATCGAAACAAGCGGCTTCTTAGGTTTATCTTTGTTGAATGAAACCAGAGTACACATCAAAAACACATAGCAGAGGAAAAGAAAAAACAATGTTCTTAAAGCTCTTCACTATCTTCTCATTCAACCTCCTCTTTCAATCTCTAGAATCCTCTTCCCAAGTTCTCAACTTCACTTACAATGGCTTTCGTCCACTCAGTGACATATCCATCCAAGGGATCGCCACCATCACACCCAACGGTCTCTTGAAGCTAACCAACACGACCGTTTTCAAAATTGGTCACGCTTTCTATCCCAAACCGATCCGGTTCAAAGACTCTCCCACGGCACCGTTTCTTCCTTCTCCACAACGTTCGTCTTGCAATTAACTCGCAGTTTCCGAAACTTAGCGGCCAGTGGCCACACGCAACGGCAAGCCAATACATGGGACTCTTCAAAATCTCAAACAACGGTGATGACACGAACCATGTAGTCGCTTTCGAATTGGACACCATCTTGAGTACTGAGTTCAACGAGACGGACAATAACCATGTTGGAATCGATATTAATAGTTTGATGTCGGAGAAAAGTTCACAGGCTGGGTGGTGGGACGAGAAGGGACAATTCAAGAACCTGACTTTGATCAACCGTAAGCCGATGCAGGTGTGGATCGATTACGACGGTCGTACGCATAAAATCGATGTGACGATGGCTCCATTCAACAAAGATAAACCTAAGAAACCGCTTGTTTCGATTGTTAGAGATCTTTCCTCTGTTCTTCTCCAAGATATGTTCGTGGGCTTTTCGTCTGCGACAGGTACTCTTAAATCGGAAAATTATATTCTCGGGTGGAGTTTTGGATGGAGCGGCGAGGCTCCGCCGTTAGATTTATGGAAACTTCCGAAGCTTCCTCGATTCGAACGCAAGAGAACCTCTGATTTGTTCAAGATTGGGATCCTTTTGATTTCCCTTTTCTTGATTTTCTCCTTAATCTTCCTCGTCTGTTTCATCGCGAGGAGGAGGAGAAGAAGTTCGATTATTTAATACATGTATTAATTAATTACTTTTGTCTAGTTTGGTAAATTACATTTTTTAACTAATTTGTCTAATGTTTTGTATGTACGGCCAAAAACCTTAATTTAAATTACTAAATACGTACTTCTAAGGTTTTGTTGACATGAAATAAGAGTCACAACTCACAACCTAAATTTCTAAATCAATCGATACGTATGGAGACAATCCTAGGTTGCATGATCTCCAAACCTTCTCTTCGTTGACCTAAGACGAATGGCCTCCGTTACAAGAGTGATCATCACAAACCTAACAGCGTCTTCTTTCGTTTTATTGGCTTTGAAGATCAGATGGCCCAAATACTACCAGAGGATTGTCATGGCGAGATTATGCCATAAAACTTATCATATTATTAATTGACAAATAAATTGTGCTGTGGTTAAAAGTTATAATGGTTGATTATCCTTAATTCTTCATGTAAAAAGATTTAATTTACCCTTAATAAAAATAGTTATAATAAACCATGTGTTTTAATATTAATCTGTTTTTTTTTAAATGATTAATATCTATTAGTATCTAAACCATAAGTTGTCACTTTTTAATAATATTAAGCTAAATCTAATTGATTTTAATTACAACTAAAACCCTAAACTACCTAATCTCAAAAATTTATATCTATTAGAGTAATTTATACAAACAATATAAAAACGTGGCCACAAGTCTGTGTTTTTAACCCCAACATGTCGTAAGATTCAATTAGAGTTTTATCGCGATCTAATGAAACGTATGAAACATCATGCCATTGAAGGCTAAAGCTTTGTTAGAGAAGAAAGAAAGGGTTGATTTGTATTACAAATTTTGAAATTGTTCGATTAAGGAGGCTGAAGCGTCGAAGTAAGAAGAAGATTTGTATCTAAACTTTATTGTTATATTATGTGTGGTTGTGAAATTTACTAGCTAATATCTGAGCTCTTCCTAGAAAATTAGGGGCAACGACAACAGCGTTTAGTTCGATAAGCGAAGGAGGTTGTTTGTTGAGTTTGGTTCATGTGGAGTTTAGATTTGCATGCAATGATTAACTTACGTCCAAGATATGAACGGAGGAGTAATATTTTACAGGCGAGTTTTTGGGTGGAACTTCGTGAAATGTGAGGTTTGTTGAGGATGCAAATGATTTGTTAAGCCAACTTGCGACGGTTGAGTCAATAGCCTTTGCGTGATGGAGGAGAAGCTGCTCCATGCAGTTGGTGTTGCTGCATAGAGATTAGAAGAAGAGAAACCGGGTAAAAGGAACTGGTATGCGGTAGAATTTAGAGTCATGGCTTTGTTCATAATTGGATGTTAAAGAAAAGAACATAAAGAACATGGGAGAAGGATTTTCATTATTGTTGTATACGGGAGGACACAAAGAAAATATTAAATGAATATTAAGTGTAGGAAGTTTTTATGCTCCACCTATCCATCTGTATTTTGTGTGACGATTTTCTGTTTTACCCCTGAACTAATTGCATTCTAGATTTTTCGAATTTCTTTTTATATCGGTCTGTTGTTTAGCTGGCTGGTATGTTGAAGACCACGAGTGTCACATAGTCGTCCTCATTGTTCATCGTATAGTTGTGTTCTGATTTTTTATTGTGATTAAAATGTTATGAAAATCAAAATTTTGGTTGATGATATAAGATTGTTTTGGGCGTGGTTCTTAATTTAATTTTGTGATTATGTTTTATTCTTTTTCCTTTTAAGTAAAATTAAGAGGCTCTAAATGCAACATCACATCAATCTTTGCCTTGTCCACTTCAATCCCTTTTTCTGATATCTTGTGACCCAACACAATGCCTTCTTAAACCATGAAGTGACACTTTTCCCAGTTCAGAACCAGCTTAGTGTCTTCACACCTTTGTAACACCTGAGAAAGATTTGACAAGCAGACACCAAAGGAGGATCCATAGACACTAAAGTCATCCATGAATACCTCCACCATCTCTTCAAGCAAGTCAGAAAAGATAGAATTCATACACCTTTGAAAGGTAGCAGGAGCATTGCATAAACCAAAATGCATTCTCTTATAAGCAAATGTTCCATATGGGCAAGTAAAAGTAGTTTTCTCTTGATCATTAGGATGGATAGGGATCTGAAAGAATCCACTATAACCATCTAAAAAGCAGTAATACTTATGATTTGCTAATCTTTCTAACATTTAGTCTATGAATGGTAAAGGGAAGTGATCTTTCCTAGAAGCAGAATTAAGTTTTCTGTAATCTATGCACATTCTATGACCAGTAATTGTTCTAGTTGGTATTAGCTCATCATTTTCGTTTTTTACAACAGTGATCCCTCCCTTCTTAGGCACCATATGGACTGGTGAGACCCTTGTGCTGTCTGAGATGGGATAGATCACTCCTGCTTCAAGCAACTTCAAGATTTCCTTTTTTTACTACCTTTTTAGATTAGGATTCAATCTCCTTTGAGGTTCAATAGAGGTTCTTGTCTTATCCTCTAGATGGATCCTATGAGTGCAGAGGTTTGGAGAAATGCCTTGGATGTCATCTAGTGAATATCCAATGGCTCTCCTAAACCTCTTTAACACTTTGACAAGAGCAAGGATCTCATCATCATTGAGGTTATCATTGACAATGACATGATAAGTAGAGTTGAAGCCTAAGAAAACATACCTTAGCTCTTTGGGAAGAGGTTTTAGCTCTACTTTGGGTGCCTTGAGCTCACTCCAGTCTTCATCCAAGTTGCTCTACTCCTTGGCGTCAGCTTCATTGCTTGGAGGACCAGTTTCTTGAACTGAGAGCACCTCTTTCTTTGTGTAGTTCAGCTTCTCAAATGGTTCTCCTTCCTCCAAGACTTTATGAGAGTCTAACCTCAGCTTATAACCCAAGCTTTCCTTATCCATGTAACCATTTTCTCCATGCTCCTTTGTCAAAACCACTTGAAGTTTATCTTCACAGCACAGCTCCTCTTGAACTTCATCATGCAGCTTCTCTAATATCTCAATTTGGAATACCTGGCCTTCAATAGTAGGTTGCTGCATAATATGCTTGATGTCAAACTTCAGAGACATATCCTTGCCCAACTGTAGCTCAATCTTCCCTTTATTAACATCAATGACAGCTCATGTTGTGGCTAGGGAAAGGTCTCCCAAGGATCAGATGATCTCTAGGTTCCTCATCCATATACAAAACCACAAAATCAGTAGGTATCTCTACACTCCCAATCCTGAGTGGTACATCTTCAAGCAAACCTTTGGGGAGTCTCACTGATCTATCAGCCAACATCAAAGAGATTCTACAGTCTTTGAAATTGGTGAAACCTAGGCGTTGTGCTACAGAGTAGGGCATCAAGCTGACACTAGCTCCTAGATCACAAAAACATTTGTCAAACAGAAGTGGACCTATAGAGCAGGGTAAGGTAAAGCTCCCTGGATCTCCTAGCTTGTTGGGAGTCACTCTCTTCTGTTGAATAATGGTGCTACACTCATGTGTGAGGACTACCATCCCTTGTAGGTCCTTGGTTCTTTCAGCAACAACATCCTTTAAGAATTTTTGATAAGGAGGAACCAGAACAAAGGCATCTAGTAGTGGCATAGTGAGCTGGATCTTCTTCATCTGTTCATCAAAGAGCCATTTGTGTTAAGCAACCATCTGCTTCTTAAACCTTCCAGGAAAAGGTATTGTGGGTTGATAAGGAAGAGGTATGTGTCTTGGTTCCTTGATCAACTCTTTAGATGCTTCCTTTGGTTTTTCCTTAACCACTTCTTTGGCTTTGGTGTTGTTTGAACCTCTTTCAGCTTCAACTACTTCATCCTTTTGAGCTTCTCCATTATCTTTAGCCTCCACCCTCTCTTCTTGTTCCTTAATGTCCACATTAGGTGTTGAAGGTGCCACTCTTGGTGGAAGTTGTTTCCCAGTTCTTAAAGTGACAGCTTTGACACACTCTTGTGCTAGTGAAGAGGTAGATGGTTGAGCCATGCTTTCTAGTTTGCTGATTTTCACATTCAGAGGACCTAGCTGGGATTGCAAGCTGGAGTCAATGCCTTTGTGTATCTCAACAGTCATGCTTCTGTGAATGTCAAGCATATTCTTTTGAATTTCAACAGCCATGATCTTCTGAAATTCTGTATTTTGAAGTTGTTGGAGTTGCAGGAACATCTCCTTAAGGTCCAATGCATGTGAATATTGGGAGGTGTTAGGGCCAACTGTTTGAGCAGTAGAACCTTGATGTTGTTGAGTATGAGTGTCTCCATAGGACTGGTGTACACAAACATCGTGGTCTTGGTTCATTGTTGGCGCCTCTTGTAGTTGAATAGCTTTGATTTGATGCTCTTTGTAGTGGTTTTGTGGTTTAGTGGTCTCATTGATCAGCATGTCAACTTTCTTTTGCAGGGCCTTCATCTCATACAATGCTGTCTCTAGCTTCTCTTCAGTGGCTTTGGAATGTTGCTCCTTGTCATCCACATAATCCCAATTGTTGAGTGCCATGTTCTCCACTAAAAGCCATCCTTCATCAACATATTTGTCAAGAAATTAACCATTGCTTGCAGTATCTCGAAGGATTCTTATAGTTGGGAGAACACCTCTATATAATGTGGACAGAAGCATCTCTTTGGAGAAGCTATGGTGTGGGCATTGGTGAGTGAAGCTTCTAAACCTTTCCCAAGTTTCTCCAAAACTTTCATTAGACCACTGTTTAAAGTTTGTGATCTCATTCCTGAAATGTGCAGTTCTTGAGGGAGAGAAGAACTTGGCTAAGAAAGCACCTTTGCATTGTTCCCAAGAAGTGATGCTTCCTTGTGCTAAAGATTTCTCCCATAATGTGGCTCTATCACCAAGAAAAAATGGAAATAATCTGAGCTTCAAACCATCTTCTGAAACTCCATTAAGCTTTGTCAAAGTACATATCCTCTCAAAGTGATCCAAGCGCTCTAAGGGGTTTTGGTTGGGTAATCCAAAGAACTTCCTCTCTTGAACCATATTAATCAAGCTGCTTTTGATCTCATAGTGATGAGTCTCCATGGGTGGAAGAAT